GTTACGGAATCGCAATTGTTTTGCAGCAATAATTGTTATTAAGTATTATTCGTAATTTTTGATTCGCTAAGTTTCTTGTTCCCATCTGTAATACGCTTAATTCTAGTACGAGGACATACGATCTTATCACTAATATCAGACAAAGGGTTCCAACATGGATCCTTGGAGTGGATATCAGAATATGCCTCCGGATCAAGGTAGTTTCTTTTTTTTCTCTTGCTTATATTGTATGAAGGGCAATCTTTGTAGTATGCAAAATTAGTTCTTTGAGTTTTTTTTCCAGAGCATTTATTCAAGGGGAAATATATTCGAAAAGTGTTTCTGAAATAGTACACTGAAATTAGTTGGCAGCAATAGATGTCGAAATCTGCCTTGCTTGAATTTTGTTGACTTGACACCTATGACAATTACGGTACTTTTTCAATGCAAATGTCTTTTCCGCATGGCTAGTAAGCAAAACTATTGGGTTCGAACGTTCACGTTTTCTATGAGTTGAAGTAATGGAGCCGTGCTCAAGCGTCACCTTTTTGTTATGTCAATCATTCCAAAGTCTGTAAACACTTGATATCTCCTTGACTTCTGTTTAAAAGTGCAACTCAATTTAGCTATACATTTAAGCGTAAAGCTGCTTAAAATCGGGCTGATAATTTTACCATAAATTGAAATATCGCATCTTTTACCCCTTAATGAATAATCATCCAGAATTTTTGACCAGTGGGTGTCTAAAAGATGTTTTCTTGACTTCCTTTTCGTGAGATGCTATTGCTTTCCTCGTTGTTTTTCATTTTTCTATGCAGATCTTAAGAGATTTTTTCAAATGATAAGCAATAAATAAGCTTGTCTAGAAAAATCCTTTTTAAGTTTTGGTACGTCCAAAATACTCACTCTTGTTTGTTTAGTGAATTGGGCGGACCTTGCGCAAAGATGGATGGCCATGCGATCCGCGCAAGAAGGTCCAGATCATTTACGTGGAAATGAACATTCGAATGGATACGGCAATTCTCCTTTCGGGAGGGAAAATGGTCCACCCGGTCAATATGGTCGAAATGGTGCGTATGAAGGATATGGCCGGGAAGTGGTCCCTCCTGTTCACCATCCAGGACCACCAGATCACAACTTTGGTAGAGGTTCCGAAAGAAATCATCACGATTACGGGAGAAACGACACTAATCCGTCAGGTCGGCTAAATTCTTACACTTTTTAGTTTGGTTTGATTTCGTTTTCTCGTTCCACATAATCGAAAGAGCGCTTACGTTAGTGTTTCCGTATACTAGTTCCGGATTTTAGACCACGATGAAGCGCTTAAATCTTCGGAAATGTAGTTTTTGTAATGACTATAGCGAAAATTACCTAATTCAGCTAATTTATATATAGTTTCAGATGACTGGTCGAACTCAGGACCGAGTCGTCCAATTTTTCCTTCTGGCGCTCAGGCTAAAAACAATGATGGCAACGTAAGTAATTGTACAGATAGCGAATCCGCTACACATTTTTGTGGTCTCAGGATTTTCATGATGGGTATCGAGGTCAATGGGGTGGTGCTCCTCCACCGCCATTCATGGATCCACTTCATAAATCATCTGGAGACTACCATCGACCCGTAATTTCACTAGTGGTAATGAGTGAAGTGTCAACGCTGCTCTTTTCCTTTTCAGCCAGCTCCACCTTTCAACCAGTACCGCCATCCTGAAATTCCGCCAGGGCCGCCTAACAGAAACTGGGGAGCGCCTCCGGGCGGTCCTCCTCCACCATCTGGACCTTCCCAACATGGTCCACCACCGCCTGTTGGACCTATTCCGCCTGTGAGACCACCACCTCATGCTCTGCCACCACCGGGTCTTCCGCCACATCCAGGGGGGCCACCACCTCCAGGTCCGCCTTGGTACTCGCAGCAGTACTTTCCTCCACCGTTTTCATCTGCTGGCCCTAATACAGCACCTCCACAACAACCTGTACCCAGTCAATCAACTCCGGCAGCCGCTCCTTTCTTCACTATGGGTGTGTTTGTTTTGTTTAAATTATGCTGACCGAGCTTGTAAATCTTTTTAACAGACGCTACTGCAAGAAAAAAATTACCTGCATGGATACTCGAAGGTCTAGAAAAAGCTGAAAGGGAAAAGCTTAAACAATTAGAAAAGGAAGAACGAATGCGAATGGCTGAAGAAGAACGAGCTAAGCGTCGAGCACTTGCTGGAAAGGGGAAATTCGTAAGCATCTTCTAGCTGCAACTTATGCATGTCTTCTTCATGCTTTTATTTTTTTTCTTACATGAACTGTCAGTTACTGTCAATCGTTAACTATGAAATACTGTAGGACAGCAGTAGCGAAGATGAAGATGAAGGACAAGCGGATGATGAACGGTCACGCTCCAAGTCGCGACAATCTAACGCTCCCGAAGAAGATGATGGCGAACCGGTATTCTCAGC